ATCCGTAGCGTGTGCGAAATGCGGTCTTAGGGCAGTCGGGCGGGTTGACGTGAATCTGGTGGTAACCCCCTTGGAGGTCGATTTTCGAGAAAACCCGGGCTGTGCGCAGTTGGTCGATCAGTTCGTCGGCTCGCGGGATGGGGTAACGGGATTTGATGGTAACCCTGTTCATTGCTCTGTAGTCTATGCACATGCGAAATCTCCGTCTTTCTTCAATATGAACAGTATTTGTGCTGCGAAGGGCGACGAACTAGGGCGAATGAATTCCTTCTCGAGGAGGTAATCGAGCTGCTTCCTCAGTTCGTCCAGTTCGGGCTGGGTCAGTCGGAACTGTCACTGTACTGTTGGCTGTGCCCCCGGTTATCCTGTGGTCGTGCGGTCGCTGAGGTGGCAACCCCGTTGGTAAATCGTCCGGGAAAATGTCGCTGTACTGCTTCAACAGTGCTGCTAGATCACTCGGTACGTCGGCCAGCAGTTTTTGTAAATCCCCTCCTTTGTCTGCTACCTCGGCTTCCCGAATGTCGACCGCGTACACGCCAGCTTCTGCCGCTACGGCGCGTTTCATCGTGATCGCGTTGACACGCATCGGCGAAGACTCAGGCGAGCCCCAGCGAGGTAAGGCGATGTCAAAATATGTTTACATATTATATATAATCGTTTGCAGTTGTAGTGTAGATATTGCATCATGTTTGGTGGTGCACCTCCTTGTGTTGCTGTTTACCTATTTGTACTTGCTATTCTTATTAGTGAAGCCCTCTTTTGGCTTGCTTTTTCCTCTCGTCACCCTCACCTAGTTCAAACCCTAAGCTACTATGCTCCTAATCTTAACATGGTATCAGAGCTAGGTCGTCCTAAGACCTGATTTTTCCCCCATGGGCCCACCACGTATCTCCCCACTCATGGCGCTCGTCATGCCCCCCGTCGCGGCCGTAGTTACGACGGCTGCAACGGTCGCGACCGTCGAAACGGTCTCGTCCGTCCCGTCCGTCCCGTCCTTGGCGCCCTCCCCGTCACGCCCGTTGCGCCCTGCTCGTCGCGCGCGTCGCTTTCCTTGCCTCGTTCTGTCACGAACACAGCAGCAGCCGCGCGCAGCTGCGTACGGGCGCGCATTGCTGCGCGCAGCCGCGTACGACCGTGCGCACCCGCGCACGGCCGTGTGCGTCAGCAACAGCGCCCGTCGCCAGCACCTGCGTGAGCAGCAACTAATGCCGCCCCCCTCTTCCCTTCCGCAGCTTCCGCCGTGGGGGGAGGGAGATGTGGGGGTGGCGCGTGTAAGTTGCCTGCAGCCAGTCCTTCCCCTCCCTTCAGCGGGGTCCGCCGTGAGGGGGGGGGGAGAGGTTGCGCCGGGAGGGTGAAGGGAAACGGGGGGAGTGTGACAGGGTGGCGAGAGAGATTATGCAAAGCCAGCAGCCGCCCCTCCTCTCTCTCTCACTGCCGCTCGTGCTGCTGTGGGGGGGAGGGTAAGAGAGGGTGGCGGGGAAAACAGACAAGCATCTGCAGTTGCCACCCGCTGCTATCGTGGCACCTCCTGCTGCCGCCCCTGCCCCACCTGTCCTTGTTTCTCCTGTCTGCTGCTGGGGCCTGCAGGTGCTGCCGTCGAGCCGCTGCTGTCCTGCTGCACGTTGCAGCCACAGAGCCTGCTCCTCAGGCGACCTGCCACCCCTACACCTGCTACTGCTTCTGCCTTGGCTGAGGGCATGCTACTGCTGTATTTGCCACTCCTGCACCGGCCACTACTGCTCTTGCTTGCTTCTGCTTCTTCCGCTGCACTCCTGGTGCACCCCGTCAGGGGGCGTTTTACACTTACTCCTGCAATCAATTATGGGGGCATGTCAAAATATGTTTACATATTATATATAATCGTTTGCAGTTGTAGTGTAGATATTGCATCTTGTTTGGTGGTGCACCTCCTTGTGTTGCTGTTTACCTATTTGTACTTGCTATTCTCATTAGTGAAGCCCTCTTTTGGCTTGCTTTTTCCTCTCGTCACCCTCACCTAGTTCAAACCCTAAGCTACTATGCTCCTAATCTTAACAGGCGATGTTGTTACCGTTCACTCGCACGGTGCAGTTACCCGTCGTCCAGTCGATTCGCGGATTGTGTCATCGCAGCCAATCACGCCCGAGTAAAATATCAGTTCCATCGAGGGTCATTGCGAGCATTTCCTGGCTAAATGTGAAGTTACCCCCGCATCGAATCCGAACCCGGTCTACGCGTTCCCGTATTGCCAGCGGGGCGCCGTCTACCAGTCTTGCGTCGATCTCAGGTAAACATCTGTCTAGTGGCAGTCGCAATTTTCGTGCTGTGGCAGTATTGATGAGGCTGTGGCTGGCTCCCTCGTCTACGAAGATTTTAACTAAGTCCGTCCCAAATTTCCCACTAAGCAGTATGGGGCTGTCTACCGTAGTCCCCTCCTTATTCGGCCGAGTGTGGTCGATTGCGTGAACCGGCACAATCACTCGGTGAGGGCCGGTTGGGTCGAGCGAGCGGCGTGACCTGTCAGTAGAGGGCCCGTCTGCTACTGACTCTCAGCGTTTCCCTGCTGCTTGGTCTGTCTCTGCTGCTCAGCTTCCCCCTTTTCCTTAGCGTTTTCTGGGCATTCGCTCTTGCGATGTCCCGGCCGATTGCACGCAAAGCAACGCCCTTTGAACGGTGCGGCAGCGGCATTTGCGGCAACGGCACGTATCGTGGCGCCCTCGTTCGTCCCACAAGGCCGATGAGGCCAATGGCTGCTTCCGTAGGACCCCGGTCTCGGTCGGCGGAAGAAGTCGAGTTTCTCCGCCATTGCGAGAATTTCTTGAAAACGGTGACGCCGCGAAGCTGGATTTCCTGAGCGATGTCCTGCTTCAGGCCGCCTATGTAGCAGTTGATGCACTTGCTCTCGTGCATATATCCCACCTGCTCGCATAGCGCCAGAAATCCGCTCGTGTAATCTTGGACGGAACCGAGTTGGCGCCAAGTGCGGAGCTTCCGTCGCAACGCGATCGAAGCCGCGATTGGCTCAAAACGAGCGCGCAAACCTGCGCACCACGCGTCCCACGTGCGATACTAGGGCACCTCAACGAAATACGATGGCGTCCAGGGTCCGGTTTGTCCTTCCCGTGTTGGTAGAGTCGCGTAGTCCACCGGCTTCGTGACGATGACGCGCCACCATTCCATGGCGGGTCCTCGCAGCAATGACACGGCGTAGCGAATCTTCGCCGTATCCTCCGAGACGTAGTTCGCGTCGAAGAAGACGTTCAACGTGAAGAGCCACGCCTGAACGGTAGGACCACCCCGCTGACTTGGGTCAAAGCATGGTGGACGTTGTGGCATCAGCGGCATCAGCGACGGAAGAGCTGATTCGCCGGCCGGCACTGAAATCGTGACTCGAGGCTGAGTCCTGGCCGCATTCGTCGCGTCGGGGTGTGTCATGCCGTGGTCGTCGTTTCCGTCATGGTGGATGACGCCATCACTTGCGGTGCTCGCGGGTTGCCCCACACTTCCGTGTTGTGATGTCTGTGGTGCGGGCTGAATTGGAGTGCCAGGTGCTTGGGATTGTGCCCGTGTGAGGTCGTTTTGCAGGGACAAGCGTTCTGCCGTCAGCGTCGCTATTTCCTCGGCGCTCTCGCGGATTTGTCGCAGCAGATCGTTCAGGTGCTCCTGCACGAGAGATGTGACATCGATATGTTCAGCCATTTCGAAGTGCGTCGGCTCATCTTAGTCTAGGCGCAGTCGTGGCTGCACGCCTTTACGAGAGAACGCGAGGTCAACGGCTCCTAGGTGCTAAGGTACGTGAGTCCCTTCGAGTGAAAAATCATAAGTTGATTTCCTGGGGTGCGGAGATGCGCATTCCTAAAGAAAAGGGCTATGAATACCAAGTGTTACGGGTGCAATGAATCGAAGTAGCGAGAATTGCACCAAGGTGTCAAATGAGTACAAAGATGTGAGCGAAGGCATGAGCGAAAATTTATACGCGACCATGCAAACGGTAACGCGGTGCGTGCGAGCTAGCTAGTGCTACGCTGGCAGCGAGGCTCGGGCTAGTCCCGAAGCGTAGGCCGACACGCCCGGGCCAGCAGTGCGAGGTTTGGCAAATCTGTCAAACTTATATGCTATAGTATGTGTAGGCTGTAGTGGGGTAGACTATATGGGGTACAACACTTCTAAGTTTTCCTACTTGTACCCACCTGCCCGCTAGTTCATTCATTCCTCATTTCTTCACATGGTATAGAGCAGGTTCCCTAGTGGGAACGCTTCCTTGGGCCCACCCCTGAATTTTATTTTTCTCTGACCGGAGCGCCAGTCGCTCCTGCCCGAGGCGCGCCTTGTGGGCCGCCCTTCTTTCGAGCTCTCTTAGAGGCCCCTTCTCACCGCCCCTCGTGCCGCCGCTAGCAGCCCCGTCGCCGCCCTTCCAGGCCCCTCGCGGCCCCTAGCGGCCCCGTCGCCGCCCCTACGCGGCCCCGTCCCCGCCCCTAAGCGGCCCCGTCGCCGCCCCTACGCGGCCCTGTCGCCGCCCCTAGTGGCCTCGTCGCCGCCTCCCTCCCTACGCGGCCCCGTCGCCACCCCTAGCGGCCCCGTCGCCGCCTCTCTCCCTACGCGGCCCCGTCGCCACCCCTACGCGGCCCCGTCGCCGCCCCTAGCGGCTCCGTCGCCGCTCCCCTCCCTACGCGGCCCTGTCGCCGCCACTACGTGGCATCGTCACCGCCCCTACGCGGCCCCGTAGCCGCCCCTAGCGGCCCTGTCGCAGCTCCCCTCCCTACGCGGCCCCCTCGCCGCCCCTAGCAGCCCCATCGCCGCCTCTACCAGCCCTGTAGCCGCCTCTACCGGCCCCTTCACCGCTGAGCCGCCCACCAGCTGAGCAGCCCAAAAGTCGAGCCGCCAAGCTGCCCAGCAGCCGAGCCGCCAAGCCGCCAAGCCGCCAAGCCGCCCTGCCGTGGAGCCGCTGCTGTTCCTACCGGCGCGCCCCGGCCCTACTTACTCGGACTGGTGAGATCACTCCCTACTAGGCCACTGCAGCCATGGCTACCCCCAGTGTCCTTACCTTTGATGCTGAAGGTCGTGCTGTTGACTTTGAGGTCTGGGTCGATGACCTCCAGCTGTTCCTACAATGCGATAGGGCAGACGGACTCTCCCTGTTCGATCTCACCTCTGGTGCCTCTCCTGCCTCGCCTGCTACTTGTGACAGCACTGTTCGCTCACAGTGGGCCACACGCGATGCTGCTGCCCGTCTTGCTGTGCGTCGCCACTTACCGACCACTGAGCGTGCACACTTTAGCCAGTACAAGAGAGCTAAGACCTTGTACGACACTGTCGTTGCACGCTACTCTTCCCCTGCCACTGCTGCGTTGAGCCGCCTCATGCTCTCGTACCTGTTCCCTGACCTTGCTGCCTTTGCCATAGTCGTTGACCTCATTATGCACCTTCGCACTAGTGACACTCGCTACCGCGCTGCTCTTCCTGCTGAGTTCTGTGCCAAGAACCCCCCCCCCATGTACATCACCCTCTACTACATAGTCACCCGGCTCCCTGACTCCCTTCGCTTAGTCACTGAGGTGTTGACCACTTCCTCTCAGTTTGCCCCACCACACTCACCGTTGACCTCCTCGAGGAGCGCCTCCTAGCAACAGAGACAAGCATTGTCGCTGTAGGAGCCTCTCGTGGTGACCCTCGCACCCCCGTCTTTGAGGGGTGTTCCCCTCCCCCCTTCTTGCCCTCTATTGCTTTTGCTGTTGCGGCCGACCTCGTTGGTTTCGAGTCGGTCGGCGCTGCGTCTACCCCTAGCGGGAGACGCCGCACCGGCAAGGGCAAGGGGGGCAAGGGCGCTGGAGGGGCTGGCGGGGGCGGTGGTAGTGGTGGTGGAGGCAGTGGAGGGGGTGGGGGTGGTGGTGGGAGTGGTGGCGGGGGTGGAGGTGTCGGTGGCACCAGTGGAGGCGGAGGAGGCGGCGGTGGTGGCGGAGGGAGCGGAGGCGGCGGAGGTGGCGGAGGCGGCGGAGGTGGCGGAGGCGGTGGCGGCAGCGGTGGAGCTTGTCGGAGCTCTGCGCAGAGGAGTGGGTCATGATGTCGAGTGTGTGTGTTGAGTTAATAGCGAGTTATTGCTAGACGCGTGTTACGCGGTCGTTTGTGTCTCCCGCGCGGTTTTTATTTTGTCGTGCGCGGTTCCTATTTTGTCTTGTGTCGAACGTTCGGTGTGTCGTAGGTGTGTGCAGCAGACCCATCAAGAACTCAAGGATCAGTTTGTGATGAAGAGCCTGAGCCTTGGTGTCAATCCTCAAGTGATTTCGAAGCTCGCCAAAAAGGGTGCACCTCAAGATATTGAAGATAGTTACATTACTTTGTGTAGTGTAACATTTCACTTGGTGTAGGCCCTATTGAAGTGTAGTTTCGAGACCCTTCGTGGTTGGGGACAGTGTGGCACTGTTCTACATCATTGTACCTCGGGTCTTGGGGTTTGTAGGAGCTAGGAGTCATTCCTAACTCGTAACTCTTCCTAACTCTTCCCATCTTGTGTTCTAAGACTATGTTGCTGCCATAGTGCCGTTCGTTCAAACCGACGCTCTGTCGTCAGTTCTTAATGAAAGCATGCGATTTAAATTGCCTATTGTAGGGGAAATTAAGTCGCTCTAGATCCCGGTTGAATGAATTCATTTGGAGTTGTGAGCAGATCGCTATGAACGTTTGAAGCCGCTGTGCAGAAATCCGGCTGTGCACTCTATCTTTCGTTTTAGGCACATTGGAGCCTACTATGACTATAACAAGTGGTATCAGAGCCCCTTGGAGCAGTTTCGACAATGGCTGGATCTGAGGAAAGGGGTGGCAGAGGTGCTGGTGGCAGTGGAGAAGCCCAAGCTCAAGGCCAACCCCGTGACTGAGCCATGGCGCCCGTGCAACCAAGTGTTGGCCCATCTAGGGACGAGCCTAGAGTGTTTTACCTTGACAAGTTCAACGGTGAGAACTTTGCTGAGTGGTCCTTCAGAATGGAGAACGTGTTTGATCACTATGACCTGCTGGAGGTGATGGAAGGAACCGAGAAGCGGCCCGAGAACGACCCGGAGAAGAGCCCGTGGGTGCGGAAGAGCGCACAAGGCTACCTCCTACTAGGGCAAGCGTTGGGGAGCAGCCAAATCCGTCACATCAAGCCCTTCCAGCGTGAACCACAGAAGGGACCAAAGGCATGGGCTGCTCTCAAGGGTGTACACGCTCGTGCAACAGCGGCGGTAGCTGTGGTGCTGGAACGGCAAATGGCGACGTTACGAATTGAAAAGGATGAAGCGGTTGAAGAAGGGGTGCAGAAATTCTTCGACTTGTTGATTCGGATTGAGGGAGCTGATTTGAACTATAGTGAGCTCCAAAAGAAGACCAAGTTGCTGGCCCTACTCCCTGAGTCATGGTCCTCGCTCATCATCAACCTGAATCGCGACTTGCCCCGCCTCTCGCTTGAAGACGTGAAGCGAGCTATCCTTCAAGAGGATTTCCGCCGCCGTGAGTTGGCGAGTGCGGATGGCGCAGGGGTAGCGAGCATCGGCCGTGGATATGGCCATGGAAGAGGCAGAGGACGAGGGGGAGGAAGGTTTGGTGGCAGCAACTTCAGTGGAGGCCGCGGGAGTGGCAGCGACGGCAAGAGCTACGGTCGCGGTCGCGGCCGATTTGACGGTGAATGTCACTATTGCCACAAGACCAGGCACATGTGGCGCGATTGCTTCAAACTCCCTGAAGGATGGACCCCTGCTCAAAGCCAGGAGGGTAGAGGAGCAGGAGGAGGGAGAGGAAGAGGCCGTGGAGGCCGTGGCGGTCGCGGTGGCGGAGCTGCAAACATGAAGAGCGGAGACAACGACAAGGACCCGAGCGACGATCGGTACCCGGGTCTATTCTACTTCGTGTCGACGCAAGTACCAGCTGGTCCAGAGAAGGATGAAGGCTTTGAGGAGCCAGCAGCTGTGGGGAAGGTGACCCTACACCCCCTGGACTATTGGGTGATCGATAGTGGCGCTACCTATAGCATGACACCTCGCCCGGACTTGCTCTCCGAACTCGAACCGTCACCGGTGAAGCATGTCACATCGGCTTTGGGGCAGCGAGCGGAGGTGAAAGGCATGGGCAAGGCCATGTTCAAGGGTGCGGATGGGAAGATGGTGGGCCTCAAGAACGTGCTTTGGGTGCCCAGCCTTGCTGCGAACCTGATCTCCGTGCGGTGGTTGGCAAAGGCCGGCATGGACACGAACTCGAAGGGAGCCAAGACCTCCACCGCAAGGCTTGGCGATCGAATTCTTTGGGACCTTCATGAGGACAGGGATTTCTACAACGAGATGTGGCAGATCCTAGTGGTCCCTATGCCTAAGGAGAGGCAAGTGGCAGCAAGCATCAGCACCAAGGATGGAGCGGCTGGTAGCGACGATGGCGCGAACGGTCGCGCTAAGGAGAATGAGCTCAAGAAGAGCAAACCTGGAGGGACCAGCAAGTTCAGTGAACCTAGGGAGAGTGGTGCAGCAACCAAGGAGCAGCAAAAGGGTGAGGAGAACCCCGAGGCAGCAACGAAGGAGGACTACGGAGAGAGTATGTGGGGCGCTATTGCGAGCGCGGCATTCTCCAATCCAACTTCGGCTACGGGGGAGTGTGATTGGCTCACCTTGCATCGGCGCATGGGGCATGTGGCCCTGCCCATCTTGCAGCAGCTAGTGAAGAATGAGATGGTTGATGGCATACGTGTGAAGGGGGATCCCAATGAGTTACTTGGCTGCCCGGCGTGCATGCAAGCCAAGTTCACCCGATTCCCGTTCTCTAGTTCGGAGGTGACGGCTAAGGCACCGCTTGATGAGGTGGTGATGGACGTGGTGGGCCCCCTGAAGCTTGGAGCTGCTGGAGCTGAGTATTTTCTCACCATTGTCGACGTCTACACCCGCATGACTTGGGTGTATGTGCTGGCCAAGAAGAGCGACGTGGCTGAAACGTTGAAGACGGATTGGTTCCCGATGGTGGAGCGGCAACAAGACCGTCTAGTCAAGTCAATCCGCACTGATCGAGGGGGAGAGTTCCTGAGCAAGGAGTTTGGGTTGTGGCTGAAGAAGTATGGTATTCGGCACTCCCTCACCATGCCATACTCCCCTGCAATAAACGGCATCGCCGAGCGAGCGAATCGGACGATTACGGAGGCGGCACGCGGGTTGCTCATTGAAGCCGGGCTACCCGACTATTTCTGGCCTGATGCGGTGCAGAGCGCGTGTGTGGCCAAGAACAGAGTTTTGACTCATGTGGGAGCAGACAAATGGGTGCCCTATGTGGAGTGGCTTGGAAGAAAGCCAAAGGTGGATATGCTTCGGGTGTTCGGGTGCATGTGCATGGCGCTCGTGCCTAAGCATCTTCGGCACAACAAGCTTGGTGCCAAGGCGATATGGGCTGTGCACTTGGGCATGGCTCAAAACAGCAAAGGGTGGCTTCTTTGGGACCCATTCACCAAGAAGTTCTTGGTGAGCAGGGACTGCAAGTTCATGGAGAACTTCATGTACAAGGATTGGAAGGCGGAGAATGAGGCGAAGATAGGCGTGCGGTTTGGAGAGGTGAAGAGTTCCGGCTTGGAGCACGTGGAGCTGCCTTTGGAGTTGAGCAGCGGCAGCACCAGCACAAGGCAATCTTCCCTTGTGAATGGGGAAGAGGAGGCCAAGGATGCAGAGGAAGAAGAGGAGGAGGTGCAGCAAGTGAGCGAGCGTGCACCGACACTTCCTTCCCGTACTACGAGCGCTCCACGGATCCGAGCCACACCGCAGCAACGCCAAGGCCTTCAAGTCCCTGTAGCTGAGGAGGAAGGAAGGGGGAAGAGGAGAGTTCAACCCCCTAATAGGCTGACCTATGATGCACTGGGAAAGCAGGGCAAGACAGCCCTGGCCGGAGCGGCAATGATGGTCGGAGACGACGAGGAGAGTGACTACGAGGAGTGTGCTTTCGTGTTCTTCTCTCCGGTGGAGATGCCGGGAGAACCAGCAACTCTCAAGGAGGCTTTGGAGAGTAGTGAAGCTGAGGAGTTGAAGAAGGCCATGGACGTCGCGTTTGCTACCGGGCAGCTGGCTAGGGTTGTGCAATGCCCTAATGAGGAGCAGGTAGCAGCTGGAATGAGGGTGGCCAAGTATCTTGGCCAAACACCGACCGTTGGGCTGCAATACTCGGCGGCGGCACAAAGGCGCCAAAAGGGCGCGGATGGTGTTGAACCCGGGCGTTTGTTCTTCACCGCCTACGCGGATGCTTCATATGCATCGGAACCAGAGGACATGACAAGAGTGGGAGACTTCATATGCTGTGCTGGTTGAGGCCGAACTGCTTGGGAGAGTAAGAAGCAGGTTGACCAAGCTTTGAGCTCGGTGGAGTCCGAGTACATGGCACTCTTCCGTGCCGTACGGGAGATTGTGTGGCAGCGGCGTTTGTTGGCTGAATTGGGGGAGGAGCAGCAAGGACCTACCCCACTCTACTGTGATAGCCACGGTGCCATTGCTCTTGCTAAGAACCCTGTGTTGCATGGACTCACAAAGCACATGAGGGTGAAGTGGCATTGGACGAGGAGCATGGTGACCGCGGGTGAAGTTGAGTTGCGCTACGTGAAGACCACGGGGCAGCCGGCTGACATGATGACTAAGAGGCTGGTGGATCAACAGCATTGGAAGTGTTGCAAGCTGGCTGGGATGGCTCTGAACTGAGAGAGCAACATATCCTAAGGCCAACAATCCGAGGGGGAGTTTGTTGGTGCAACCCTACGGTTTGCACTCGGCTTGTTGTTCGTGTGCGTGCATGTGTGTGTGTAAGGAATGGTATGAGGGCATGGGATAATATATATTTCATGCTTATAATTGTGTGTGAATGTTGTGTCATGATGTCGAGTGTGTGTGTCGAGTCAATAGCGAGTTATCGCTAGACGCGTGTTACGCGGTCGTTTGTGTCTCGCGCGCGGTTTCTATTTTGTTGTGCGCGGTTTCTATTTTGTCCTGTGTCGAACGTTCGGCGTGTCGCAGGTGTGTGCAGCAGACCCATCAAGAACTCAAGGATGATTTTGTGATGAAGAGCCCGAGCCTTGGTGTC